AGAAGAGGCTTTTACTATGAACTAGCCACCAACACAAAGCTTTTGTTTTTTAGCCAACTATCTTCAAAATAAATTAAGTATGTCCAAGGGAAGTGTTTTATAAAAGGCTATGCAATTACTATAAAAGGTATTGGAATGAAGAAGACATGTGACTTACGATGGACCTATTTTTAGTTGCAAGGAGTTAGTTACCATAGAATTCTTCTTCTCTTTGCCTCTTTTTAGCCTCTCACACAGTCTCTTTCATTGTCGTAGAGTCCATCGGTAGTTGCTATGGAGACAGCCCCCGTTATTCCACACTTGGCATTGTATTCTGAACGACCCTTTAGCAGGTGGAGGAGCCGTGAGACCAGATCTGCCGATGGGTATGCACCAATCACAATATTAGACCTCACAGGGGTACCCTGGGTATTTCTACATGATTTAGCCTAATATAATTGTGCAAAAATGCTTTCCGTGAAGTCTTTAATGACTGGGGTGTCTTTGGTTTCAGACACTACTCCTATAAGATGGCCTCTCATGTTATATTGCTTGATTAAAAGAAATATTGGGCATATTATTAAAATTGTCTATACCTCTATTATTTCATACATTGTAACAATAGACCTCATAAACAAATAATTTCATAGATTTTTTTGTATTTATTTTAGCAGAAAATGTCTTTTGAAAAACTGCATTGCAAATAGCATAATCAAATTAAAAATGATGGAGAAATATTAAATAGCTACTCATTGACATAGCAAAATATGCATATAAACTTTTCAGGGATCGACCATTTGCAGTGCTTCATGGAAGTGGGCGGAGCTAAAGTGCTATTTTGGAGTGAGTTGCTTTTTTCTCTGATTGATACAATTTTATTTACACCATCGTGGGTAATGTAGTTTTTCACCAGGAATTCCATGATTATTATAAAATAATGAAATAAAATAATGTGGGCTGACGGCTTCAACAGAAACAAATACCATATAGCCTATTAACAACCACAATCACAATATCTGTCTTGAAAGGCTCAAAATCAATTTTCTTATGAAGAAGAGTAATCTGAATTATTCTAAGAGAGAGAGAAAGCTTATTTTCATAAAACACACTCAAACCATATCCATGTTCTTTCTGTACTTCTCTACTAAGAGCATTTGAGAGCTAATTTTCAATAGGCCTACATAAAAACATAAAACAGTTTAAATAGGCCTACATGCGATCGTGTTTATGACTAGCTGTGCATATGCATATTGGCTACATTCAGTTTTGTATATTATTTATTATTGCTCAAAAATAATATCTTTGTAGAGTATTGTTGTTATTCCATTTCATTTTTGAAACATTTGTTTCTTAGGCTACTGGGAATGTGTGGTTCTGAAGGCTATCATAAATTAATTGCATGCTTATTAATGAATGACATCCAGTACTGTAAAAAGTTGAAGCAGATGCTGAAGGAGCCAGCTGTATTTCAAAGGTCATCCAAGGATATTGATGGGAAATGCCTCATTCCTTTCTGCTGACCACAATATATTCTAATGGGGCTGGTAGAGAACCGTCAGTTACTGGTCGTGCTCTGAGGACCATATTGTGTTGTGGGGAAGTAGAAGAGTCTTTAGTCTTTTGTTTGCAATGAAGCAGGAATAAATAGACACATTGCAAACATGAATCTGATCAGCTCATTGATCCAGCGATTCTAGGAAGTTGAGCTTTAGCATTCTAGAGATGTGTTAGTCTTACAGCAGATCGTGTAAGAATACGTATGAGACAGTCATACTGACTTCTGCTGTCTTCTAAACATACGCCTGTCCAAACTAAGTATTTCTGAAAGAAGGGAAATATGTGCAGCTTTTATCACCATGGTGATGGCGGGCTGAGTAAATAGCGGGTCTGCTGACAGGCTACCGCATTGACTAATGATGGCAATGAGGTCATTTGTTCCAGAGTGATGGGAGGAACTAAAATCTGGTATGTATGTCTCTATAGCCTCACCCATAGATGTAGTGAAAGTGTATACTGTACATGTCTACTGTAGTGCAATGCAGTGGAGTGTGGATATTGTTCAGAAATATCTAGATTATGTACAGGCCAGTGGGTAAACACTAAACAGCTATAAAGATTTTTAATGATTCAAGGGGAACACAACAAATATAGGCCTGGTCATGTTTTGAACGTTCTGTATTATAAACAAAGAATGAAGCTCAAAGTGTGTACATGATCATAATTTGCTCAGCACGAAGGTTGGTTTGTCGCTTATTGATCGAACTCTGATTTTCAAGGTCATTTTTATTAGCTCAAAGACATTAACCTTAAAGCATAAGGTTGAAGACTTTTCTTAATTAAATGAGAATGGCATTATTTCTCCATCGAACATATTACATTTTACCTTTTACCCTTCTAAATTTGTATTTTCATTTATTAACATCTGGCTTCAAACATGAACATAAAATCAGAGACTTAACAACAACACAGCATTAGTTTTCTGCATATTAGGCCTACTTATTAAAACAGGTACATTTAATTAACCTGAATTTACCTGTTTACATTTATTGCTCTCAGTAAAAACAGTGGTTGGTCCTCCTCCAGACCCCACAACACATCAGGTCCTTTGTGGGCACATAATTCTTGGAGTTCTGACAGCCTCTTTGAGATGAGAGCTGTGCACATGCAGTCGCTCTCATCTTTGATTATGCATGAACTACCCCCTCCGTTCGCTCCAGCTCCAACTACGTGGTGTGGTTGCCATGGTAACCGACGATATGCAGACCTGAGATGGGCAACAATAGGATTTTCCATGTGTGTAGTGTGTGAGAGTGAAGATTCCCCTGCCTTCACCTCAGCATATCAAAAGATGTTTTTGACAATGGATAATATCTGTGAAAGTGAAGCATGTTTTAAGTTATAGATTCAATATTTTAGGTTTATTTAATATATAGTGTAGGCTATATGTTTATATTTGCTCCAGTTCAGTTTATACAGCAATACCACGTTCTGGCAAGAAAATCTAGTCCATAACTTGGTAGCGATCCAATTGTCATCGACATAGTGCAGCTTTTGGTTGCTGTTGCAGCACGCTTTAAGAAACCCTCCACCTTCCCCAGCTCCACCTGTATAGATCTGCTACGGAGGTTTTTCATGCATGTTACATTTGCAGCAGCAGCATGTCTTACATGCTCACAGCAATGTATGTGAATGTCTTGGCAGTACAGTCTCGGTACTCTGCAGCAGCGTCTTTTCCGCCAAGAACAAATACATTAACATTCATTATCATAACTATTATGCTAATCTCTCTAAGAGTTGCTATGACAGAAATGTGTGTATGCAGAAGGTTTTAATGCCAAAACAGTGCGTGGCAACATTAATAACAGACAGATTGATTACCTGGCTGAAAAAAATAACCCAGACCATGTTAGTCTAAGGTAGTTTATGCTGTTTTTGTGCTGGTCTTTTTTCATTTTGGGTTGGTTGTTTCTATTAAACTGATTAAACTGGTTTTAGATTACATTGATCAGAATTTGGAACAGTTCCAGCATAATGGCTCCAAAATCTTTAGTGGTGTATGCACATGTACTGGGTGTTATATAATTCAGGCTGCGTGTTATAGCTATTTTCATGGTTAATAAGAAACTTTTCCAAGAATTGGTTTAATCGGTCTAAACAGTTTAAGAACGGTTGCAGCAAAATGGCTCATCAATAGAATTGTTTGAGTTGTTACTTGTGCCTCAATTAGGGCACAAGCAACCCAATAGCACTGACATCTTAGAGACATAGTCTGCATTTACATCTGCAAGAGTGTTCATCCGCAAAATGTCTCTGAGACGTCTCCTGTCAGATGTCATATAGACATGACATTTAGAATATGTCTTTAAGATCTTTGTTTTTTAGAATGTAGAACAGAGACATTTCCAGTGAATTGATCAAACAAGTTTGAGTTAATCGGTGTGGTCCATCGTAAAGTACATACTGAACTGATCCGGCTTAGGGGTTCCTTCAAACTACACATAGGCCTACACTTACACATTTAGGCGTGTACACACACCTAAGTGTTATGTTCAATTTTGTTTCATAGGCTTTAATTACAGGTGAAGTATCTCCCTCTACTGTATGGTGCAGCTCACAGCAGTGGCTGTTTTTTGTTTTTTGATTTTTTTGGCTAACCCATTGCTGCTGTGAACAGCAGGAAGCAGAGTCGTGATGGGAAAAGCAGTGAGAGGAGAGCATGTAATATTTATACCAGAAAGGCACCAAGTGAACGAGACTCAAGTGTAATTTTCTCTTCGCCCACAACCTCCCACTATCTCTATCCACACCATGCAAAGTCTGTGGGGATGTAAAAGGTGCCATAGGCATTATTAGTGTCAAGAATAATACCACCAGCAGTTACTGACTATTCCTGATTTCCATTGGCAACAATGCTGGGTTTTGCATAACACAAGAGAAAGCATGAGGCAGTAAACCATGAAATTGGCCCAGTGGTGAAAGAAGCATCTTTTTTTAAGAAGTGGGGAGGAGGAAGGGAGGTTTGCTTTGCTGAAGCCCAATGGGGGAAAAACACATAGGCGCACACAAAAACAAATGTCACATTGCACAATAAAGGATTAGTTCACCTCAAAATAAAAATTTCCTGATAATTTACTCACCCCAATGCCATCCAAGATCAGATGTTCTTCTCTTTATTTCTTCAGTGGAAAAGAAATTGAGTATTTTAAGGAAAACATTTCAGTATCTCCACACAATAGACTTTAATTGCAACCAATATGTTAAAGTCCAATGCAGTTTCTACATACACGAGAGTATTGTGCAAGAAAAAAAAACTAGGATAAATAAATAATTAAATAAATATGTAATATAATATGATACAATATATTCATATATATATATATTCGAAATATGCTATATAATTATATATAATATTTTTTTCGAAATATGCAATATAATTATATAATTAATTATTATAATTAGGCCTATGTATAAAATATGTATAATTCGGCCTGTGTATAACATTTTAACTTGGACTTTTATTATGAAAAATATATTTTGGTGGCCATTTTGAAAGCGTGTTTTCCTACTCTGCTTGACACAGAAGGCAAATAAACTGTTTGCGCCAGATTTGATATGGAAGTTTTCTGAACCTTTAATTAAACTCATGGACGAACTTGTTGTAAGTTTCTCCTGAAGTTAGTGTTGCATTATGTGATTTGCACTGGTATTTTGATATGTGAGCTTATGGTCATGTTACCGCTGGACTCTTCTTCCAGGATGGATTCAGTGAGCCATGTCGACAGTGCGCAGCTGTGGAATGGGGAGTTTCAGATGGGGGTCACTTCTTCTGCAAGAACTGCCACAATGTGATCGAGGTTGGTAAATAGACTACAATTATTAGATATCAGGGGCTCTCCATGTTATAGGGATGGGAAAATGAAGCCTCGTGATTCAACGAGGCTTTCCCCTGACTGTTACGGGAAAAGATTCAAAGCTTTGCGACTGTCAAGAATAGCGCCATCTGGTGCATATTTAAAATAAAGCATCCAGAAGCCAGATGAAGAAACAACAACACATTCCATTTAGTTTCAAAGGTGAACAAATACAAGCCATGCACGTTTCTGTTTGATTTGTCCATTAAATAAATTCCTTTACCCATTGAATTATGACAATAAAATATAAAATGGGCTTATATGATTCAATAAGATCTACTACTAGGCACACTATCTCCATCTCTACACAAACACACTCATATTAAATAAGGATATTTAATGTATTGATTAACTTTCAAAGTACAGCACTCTCCTCACAAACCCATCAACCAGACTGAGCCAACAAGGACTCATTAAGTAAGATCTGGGGTTTGAGCATAGAGACTGGGTTCGAGCCTGCTGACACCCAAAGCGAAACGTGCACGTGATTGGACAGAAAGTGAGGCTTCATTTTTCATCGATCACGTGACTCTGGGAAACCAATACACACCCCGATACAGGGCTTCATTAGAAATTGTGTTGCATTTGCGATACATTTGCAAAATCTCTAAAGCAACCAACCAAACCCACAACCATTCGTTTTCAAAACATTACTGAAATAATGCTTATAATTTCCCATCTTTCCGTAGAAAACGAGGGAGGTGGTGGATTCCACCGCCCTTCATTCTAAAAACAGTAGGATCTCACAAATCAAGAAACCAAAGAGAAAGAGATCGGGTCAGTCTTCTATCCACATTTGATACGCCGGTACAAGACATTTTGAGCTGCAAACAGTCCTTTTAATGATCTCATGCCTTCTGTTATTTTTCAGAGGATGAACGAGAGTGGATGGTGTGTGAGGGATTTCAGTTCATCCTGAAACTCCAGGCCAAGGCTTTGGTCAGTCTTGGTGTTTGCTTGAAATTTGAGGTTAGTAGCTTTACTCCCAGTTTCACAGGCAAGGCTTGCCTTGACCTACTCCCAGACTTAAATGCATGTTTGAGCTGTTGTAACTATAAGCAACTTGCACCGACAAATCTTACAGGGCTTGGTGTAGTTCTTTAAAAAAGCAAATATCTTCCTTTGAACTTTGAGCATTGCAACTTTGCAGTTGTTGTTTATTCTTAAACAGCAACATTACACATTAGCTAAAGTTAGAAAAATAAAGTCATCAACCACCTATTAAAAATATATCAGTGCAGTTGTTTTGTTGCAAGATGCAAACAGTAATATTGTTTTCCAAGGCATGTTTAGAAAAGCTACTTAAATATCCTAATTGAATTTAGGCCAAATCCTGGCCTGAGCTGACCTATTCGTTGTGATGTTTAATCTCCTCAACAGACTGTGTAGTCCCATTTAGCCACTTGTTAGCAACCGCCAATTTCACACGTAACATCTAATAAAAATAACGAGTGGGGTAATATTGATGTATTTTATGTTGTAGAATAAAACTCAAAAGTGTCTCAAAAGAGCTTGTTCACCATCTCAGACCTTAGTTTAACCAAAATCCCATTAAAAAAAAAAAAAAAAATCCATTGACTTGGGGACGATGGAACCAGAAGCGTTAAAATACTAACTCGCTTCAGCGTTTTGGCCTACAAAGTGATGTCATACTGCGCTGACAGAGAATGCATTTTCCCTGTGTATGTATCTGAAAGTTGTTGGGGTTTTTTCCCTTTAACCTTATCCACTGCTCGAAACACAACGGTGAATTAAGCTATATAAAGTTTGATACTACACCATAAACACAAACTATCTCTAATGTTTAAGAGACTCTGTACACTGTTTCAAGCTCTTCAGATCACATAATTTAGTGAAAAATGAATGAATAGAAATAATATTTTTATAAAGAATATTAAGTAAATGTGGGAATAAATCAGACGCCATTGATAACTAACTCAACATGCATTCTCTTCTCTTTTGTGCAACAGCTCCGGGCACATGATCTAAAGCTCAAATCTAATTGGGTGGCCAGCTTCATCGCAGGGTGAACTGGGAAAAATCTACACACGGGTCCAATTTTTTTTTTAAATCTCGCTTTGTCACACCATGATTAATAGCTCCATAGGGTTCTATTGTTTCGATTGAAGAGCGCCATCGCATTGTATATTCGCTTGACTTAATCACATGCAAGTGTCTCTGTAAGATGTAATATTTTCTTTTGACAGACAGAAGTTCTATGGAATTTCTGGAAAAAATACCTCCAGAACACACGGCAAGCTTTCACCGAAAATACAATATACACTCGAAGATTTACAGTGGTAAGTTTTATGTTGAAGTGAAAAAAAAAAACCTCTCTAGTAACACTTATATTCTATTACCGTACTTACAATATTTTCTATTTGCTTTTATGTATTTTCACAAATTTAAATCCTTCATTTTCATTTTTTTTATCTTGCCTTGATCACTGTAGTAAGCCTATTATAAATGTTATATTTTAGACATGTCTGGATGGTTATTACGGGAAATTGTGTTTATGCATCTCACCTGTGTATGTGTCTCGTCATAGCCATAAATAGAGACGGTCGACATAGAATCTCGAATCTTTGGAAAGGTATTTTATTGAACAGATAAATTGCCATATGTAGCTCTCTAACAGATATTGTAAAGGTATTTCGCCTGTTGTGAAGGGTCATTTATTATGGTTGCAGTGCTGTGCTGGTATTCATTTTCAAGGAAGTACCGTGTCTATTAATGGATAGAGCTACAGTAACGTCTTTAGCTAGTCAGCTTCCGATTCTTTCCATCTAAACTGATTATATATCTTAAGTCAAGTTGTGAATGATTTATGGGCAGAAGGATAATCTCCCTCTCTTTTATGGTTATGAGAAATAACCATATTCATCAGCACTGTCACGCAGAGCTGAAGCACAACCAAAACATGTTCACTAAAAATCTGCAAAAGGCATGCGGTTTTGCTTTTTAACCACTAGAGGGCCAAATGATACATATTGATTTTTACAAGTTTTAATTAATTGCTCTGCTTTCTTCCTCACATTTTTTTTCCCTCAAGTACATGAAGCCAAAGAGTGAGCCAGAGTCTGACACTCAGAGCGAGATGTCATTTCACAGTACTGCGGTTTCTTCAGAAACAGAACTGTCAGTCTCAGGTACGAATGAAATTACTTTGTCAGCTTTGCACATTTACAAACTATGTGTCATTTGAGCTGCATTTTGTTTCTCTGCTGCAGGTGACACCACTGATGTACAGTCATCACTATGTTCAGAAGCGTACCTGCATACATCCACTCTTATGAACATGCCACGGACTCTGGCCCTGTGCTATCTGGCACTGCTGTGGGTCCGAGAGGCCATCACTCTGGCTGACTTACTGAGGTTTGGAGTTCAAACAATGCTTATTTCAACACAAATTGCCCTTTGCAACCCATTTACCCATTTAAAAACACCCAATCTGGCACCGCAGCGCAACGCAGGAGGAAAAACTGGTTATAAAAATACCTGTGTCTGTGTGGAGGCCTTATTGATGCAAACTTGCATTTTAGACCAACACAGCCAACCTGAAGCTTTAAAAAATGAATAATAATAACAATTCCCGAATCATGCAGCTCTACTTTGGATTGAATTAACCCTTTAAGGTTATAAAGACTGTTTTTGTCTTTCTTTGGAATAACATGTACCAATGAATCATTCTTCATTTACATGCATTTAAATGGGATTTTGATGTCATGCTGACTCAATGCTGTTTAAGTGTTTAATATATGTTTGCTTTGGATAATTTATAGGCCCAAGTTTTTTCTTCTAAGCTATATTTCTGATATCAAATATTGCTGTCAGTCTTTCCAGCCTGTGTATTATTAGTGATGACATACATGATGCTTTTTACACTTGTCAATTGAAAAATGTGATTTCGCAGGCTGGTCTCAGAGAGACGTGTCCCTTATATGGACATTCAAGATGCTTTTCCAGAGGAGATGAGACTGTTTGGAAAAGATATCCATATCTTTCAAGTTTGGGTGAGAATGAGACAACCAGTTCATACTTCTTCAGTCATAAATCAGTGTGTTGTATTTCTAATAGCCATGACTTCTGCAGCATCTTCCATCCTACTCAACGGTCCATAGAGAAGCTTTTAATCTGGCTCAGATCATGCAGTTACCCTCCTTCCCAACAGTTTCGCAGGATTGCCTTCTCCACCCACTTACACTCTCTGTCCGATACATGCTGGATGCGAACCTCCCAGGTGAGTGTTGTTTAACTGTAGTGGAGAGGTTGTGGCAAATGATGGTCTTAGATTTGAAACTAATTTATCCAACATGCATAATCCTCTATTTATCTGTTTTGTTTGGTATGTCTCTGATCCTCCTCAGATGCCCTTCATATTTGGGTCCACAGGGTTATAAGGGGGGCAGCTATGGATGATGAATCATATCTGACATTTGACCCCAAAACAGACAACCCTGGTCTCTTGCGCTATGAAATTCAGGCAGCAGCTGTCATCATTGTTGCCATGAAGCTCCTTTTCAAGTTGGATGATCATGCGGAGTGGTGCGTCACTTCATAACTTGTTATCTTTAGGGGGGAAAATTTTACTTTACTGTCTTTGTAAAATTAAATCTTTGCTGATTCTCTTTTTTTCATTAATGTCTCAAGGAAGTTATCTGAGGAAGCGGCCAAGAAGAAAAAGACAAGTAACTATTTACTTGTTTTCATTTTTATGTGTATCATTTTTGTTTTGTTTGTTTTTTTTGTGGGTAACAACACGCTCTCATAAGCTTTTCACAGTCTTCAGGTTAAAACGCTGGTTTGCGATAGTACAACCCGTCTTGGAGAAAGCCAGACAGAATGAGGAACATATCGAAGCCCTGTAAGACCCAAATATTTCAATACTTTCAATGACTTATATTGAGAAATCTTTTTCTACAATCTTTTCTGTTCTTCTCTTCCAGGCGGCGATGGAAACCCACTAATCCTTTCATTACATCTCTGCAACAAAAGAGCTTGATCCTCAAAAAAAGACGTAAGCTGGTCTGGTCACATCTCCACAATGATATCAGTTGTGTGTCTCTGTCTCAGTCGCATCCAATGCTGTCTACTTTCATATCTCCAGGTGTGGCTGACTATTTGGAGCAGAGATTTCATAAATTAACTGACTCTGCACCGGAGCAACTGCCGTCCACCACAAACCCTTACTCCAGCTTTCGCTTTAGCTGGGGAAATGAGGAGGGTTCAGATGGACCCAGTATGTATGACAGGCGTTTGGACTGTACCTTTAAGAAAAATGGTGTCAAGTACCTCGCCAACCGAAAATACTGGCATCCTGAACTGAGAAGATGCGTTAAGAAGTGAGTCATCGCAAATGCTTTTTTTTTTTTTTTTTCAATGACATAATACTGTATTGTATTTTAATTGAGTTTATTGTATATTTTATATTGTGTAAAATATTTTCTCATTCACTTTCCTCTTCATAGTTCATGCGGTAACCATTTCCCAGAAATGGAGCCCTGGTTACCCAGGATGTACGTGTGGGTCCTTGATCTTTTCTCTTTCATTCTGGGGGTCCGTCAGGCAGAAGTGTACCAAGAGGTCCTCAATGTTGAGCGTCGCTTCTTGAGCAGAAATCATCAGTCTAAGATTAAATGGACTTATAATTCCCTCACAAAGAAAAAAGGAAAAAAGTCCAAAACTGCGACGCGTGTTGCTAAAAACAAAATCACTGATACCACTGACAGCGCATGAAACGTGCACATTGGTTTCCAAGAAGCCTTTTGTTCCCTTCCATCAAAATGGTAGCAACAATTTTTTTTTATTGTGCAAGATTTTCATGTGCACATTGTTTTTCAGTAGTGTCTTGCACAGTTTATATTTATAGTTATGAGAGTATCTATTTTCCGCAAAAAAGTGTTCTTTTTCTTGTATGCATTTTATATTTTGAATTTACTTACAGTGATTGTAGCTACACAGATGAACCAACAGGGGGAGTAATGCACCTCATAATTGAGTGATAGATTCTTTTGTTCTGTAGCAAAACTAAAATTGTTATTTGTGCGAGCTAAATTGATGGTGGAAAAATAAGTAATTCTGCTGGGTAGATGTACTGCTTGAGGTTTTGCATCTGAGCAGTTTTCTTTGTTCTTGCAGTCTTTGCCTTAATAGCCCTGGGTAGAGGAACAAAAGCCATTTCACACATTTGTAGTCCAATAAAGGACTCATGTTTGAGAATGTGGCTTTTATTTGGTCATACTGTGACTTAAACTAAATGCATATATGCATATTTCTCCACTGTTGTATGTATTGTGGCCTACTGCTGTCACGAAATTAAACTTTTCATATACGTGTCATTTCAATATGCCTAAATTGTATCTTATTATATTGCAAAGTCCTACATTTGTTTTTCTTAAAAATCTCAGAAATATCACCTATTGAAATAATTCAATGTGAAAAAGCTATTGAAGACAAGAGTTCATATTCTTGTTATTATTTGTATTCACATTTCAGATTTTTTTATTTTGACAGGCTAAATATGTATTTACCAAGTTGATGGACAATATTCAAGAATGTTTTGGAAACGCTATTTTTATAATTGCGTTTTTTTCTCCCTTTAACAAAACAAAAACCTAAAACAAAGAAAAACTTTTGTTTTTATGTTTAAGCATTTTGACCGAAGAGTATAATCCCATTGGCTAAAAAAGGAATTGGATTATTTCAGACAAGAAATAAAACGTGGTAGATCCAGAGAGATAAACATTAGAAAAGCAGGGCAGGAGTAATGGAGGAGGGAAGAAATGTGAGAAGGACTGGGGCTGGGTGAGAATGGAAAACCAGGACGGAAAGCTTGTGTGGTGTCATGGATCTTTTCTGGCACTATTCCACAACCAAACCAGCTGATAGCGTTTGTAGCCCACATGTAAACACAAACATGTAGCCTACTTGCTCTCAGACACATTCTTATTCCCTGCGAAACAAATTGCCCAGCATGCTTTTCAGGGTTGTTTTCCCTTCTCACGTGTAGAGAGGCCGTTTTCCTGGCATGTTTTCTGTTTGTCTTGGGCTCTCCCAAACAGACAGCACTATATTTGAACTGATCACACTCCATGGTGCCAAACGGAAAACACTCGGTCTGGGGATTGCGCTCCAACGGGGTTTAACCTTTGCTTTCTAGTGTTCTGTTTACACACAGATAAACAGACGGACACAATTCCATTGTAAACAACCGACGGTCTTATCTTTCGTGTTTATTTCACACTCCACTTCCTCTCCTCCCCCACCGCTAGTTTTCTTTCATTCTTTTGACGCGCGCCACAGTGCTTTGTGTCTGTATTTTCTTTCTTTTACTGTCTATGAGTATTTGACGCTACGGTTTAGCTCGATAGATAGATTTAAAAGTCTAATAATGTTAACTTGTCTTATGGAAGTGTTCGCAACCATTATATTAATTTTCATATTATAAAATTCCAGATAGAAAAACTCGAAAAGAAGTGCTAACAGAGACTTCCTGTTGGAAGCAGTCGTGACTCGTAATAGACACCTCCCTTCAAAGTAGCCTAAAATAAAATTGTGTAGGGCTAATACTGAAAAAATCAGTTTATGTACATTAAAGGCATTCAAACATCTGTCAAATTATCTTATCAAGTCAGTTGATAAACTATCACAACTCTTATTTCTGGATTAGCCTATAGACACTGTTCAAAACTAGGGGATAAGATTTCTACTTTAAAATAATGATAACATAGCTTACATTAAATTGATTACAAGTGTCAGTAAAGACATTTACTACAAAAGATTCAAATAAATGCTGTTCTTTTTAACTTTCTTTAAATCAAGGAATCCTGAAAAATAAAAAGTACCACAGTTTCAAGAAAAAATATTAAGCAGCGCCTCTGTTTTCAATACTGATAAAAAAATAAGTTTCTTGAGCCAATTCAACATATTAATATGATTTCTGACAGATCTTGTGACACTAAATTCTGAAATATTGGCTGAAACTCAGCTTTGCCATCACAGGAATAAATTGAATTTTATATAAAAATACAAAACAATTGTTTCAATTGTATTAATGTTTTACTGTATTTTAAACAAATAAATGCAGTCTTTGTAAGGATAAGAGACCTCTTTCAAAAACATTTAAAAAACAGACCCCATGCTATTATCATGACACATTTCTCAGAAATAAGAAAAAAGTGCTTACAGACTGTGTGGACTCATTTGTGCATATGCAACATTCACTTTTTATCTGCAAAAATGCTTTGCAAAATATAAAACAGAAAATCCATTTATTAGGCTAATGCTAAACCAAGAAGGTGTGCCATCATGAGTCAATGTGCATTTATCCTTCCTTGCACTATATTCAGAAGGATTGTGATATGAATATTGTGAACAATTTTTCCATCCTTCTGAGTGAGTCGTGGTGTGGAGGCGAGCTGTTTGCTCTTAGTCATGATGGTGCCTCTGAGAATTCATGTAACTTACACAAAATGCAGAGTAAGTCTCATTCAAGAACAAAAACTGTGAGCATAAAGCACCAACGCTCTTACTCTGATATATGATGTTTACCAATAATATTTATTTCTAACGGCCATAAATGGGAAGATTCGGACTATGCAAAACGGAAAGCATGTTGCATTTGAGAGGTTAAAAGCAAGTCCGCCCTTTTTGGCTGACCTACTTTTTGAGAACTCCACCTATCTGAGCTCAAGACAAGTCATTCAGTTCAGACGCGCTGCAGCAGCACACTGGATGAAGTTTCAAATGTTTTTTCCTCAGCAGCCCAAAGCGGAGAGCACATCTGCCACCCAACCCTCCTCATAGTCACAGCCTGTGTTTGCATGCCCTGTTTGGCCTCTCTCTTTCACACAAACTGCCTCCCCTGGCTAGCAGCCTAACCCCCATACATGGCCTCACTGCCCTCCCAAGATTCCACAGTCTCTGGGTTCACACAGCTCACTCTCCAAAACACAAGCTATGGTGATGATAGTTGTTGTGATGTATAACACATAACACAGCAAAATTATTTTAGGTCCAACAATTTATATAAAGATTTGTCTTGTAATGTCTCAGCTTCAGTTGAAATGATTTGTGTGCAAACTGTAACTTGCAAGTACCGTAACTTGCAAGTATACATATATATATATATATATATATATATATATATATATGCATTTTATAATAACAAATATATAAATATATCAATAATAATATCAATAATAAATAGATCGCTTAATATATCAGGTCAGTAAGAGTGATAATTATTTTAAAGAAAATGAAGGCAGGAAAAAATACACCTGAAAAAAAAAATAATCATGGTTTACACAAAAATATTTTATATTTAATAATAAAGTGTTTATAGTTTATGTGCAACTTTTCATGACCTGTTTTCTTGTTCCATCAACACAGGAGATCTGTTTTCCTCAGTCTTTTGCTTTTGCAAAATGAAGATATGCTCCTTATTTACATGAAATCATCTCTATTAAAGACATTTGTGACTCATCTCTTTACATCTGACTGGCACAACACCAGTTTTAACAGATATAAAGACAGCAAAAAAATAAATAAATAAATAAATAAATCCTGACAACAAAATGTGATGAAGCAAAACCAGATGTTGCTTTTTAAACCCCAGAAATGTGCACGTTTCACCAGTGAAAGATCTCTTTTTTATTTAAATGTGTTGTTTAGCACTTTGTGCAGGCTTAAGAAGCAATTTTGTTATTATGTCCAATTAGTTTAAATATATTATTTTCCATGGGATTAAATATTTCCAGATCTGTTGCTGAAACATTCAGTCTTTATTATCAGACAAAATGGCTGAACCTTTTTATACAGAATTAAATATTGCACTTTAATTAGTTGACTTAAGTTTGTTCTCGTCAATTACATGTTTAGGACTCCACTTTGATTTTTATTTTTGGATCATCTTTGTGAAAAAAGACATTAAGTGATGCCCATAGATGCCCATTTTTAAAACAAATGTCAACCATACCTTTCTTTAATGGCAAAGAACATTAATGTTGAACATAAGGACAGCAAATGTCTTCCTCTGCTATACAACACATCACAGTGTTGAAAAAATCTCCTCACAGGATATCTGAATCTCTGAAGAGGAGGGGGATTGATGAAGCCTTTTGTCTGCTCAGCTCTGCTCACCAAGACAGACCAGCAAAATTACAGCCCTCCTGCAGGGACGCACAGTTAGGATATACCTATATGATTTGCACACATTTACACCTGTTCCCACTAATCATTTCAGTGTAAAACCAGCTAATTATCACGAAAAACAGACAAAGAGAGAGACACATAAAGATTAGTGTAGCTACAACAAAGAGATGCAGTTCTCATATAGGCTCCGCCCTGGATTCTTTCACAGAAAGCTGTTCCACTGAGGTTCCTGAGTTCAGTTCAATTGAGTTCACTAAAACTGTGTACGCATGTGGGATATGTAATGATATCCGGACCGCGCTTGTGACTACTGTCTTTTTATAGAGACAAATAAAAAGGACAGAAATTGGGGTTGTCATAGAAAATTAGCATATCCTCGCAGAACCGCATTTTTAATAAAGTGTTGTATTTGTAAAAAAGGCGAAATAAATATCTTTATATATTTCGATATTATTATTGCTATTAGTCCCATTGTTGTTTCATTTTATTATAGCTATTATTCATTATTTCTTTTTTAGGCAGCATCTCAATGTGTTTCCCCTTTGTCCAGTCGCGTGAGGCTGCTGAACATTCATGACAACACTGTATAATAAAAGCAAGACTATCCATAAAAAACAAAATACGATGATATGGTTTTCGCTTATGTATTTGTTGTCTTGAATGCAGGCGTTGGCTCACGCACTTCCAGTGTGGACTGTGCTCGTCTGCGCATGCCACACTCCGCTGGCACAACTAGCCAGACGCGTGCGAGTATCTCACGATTCCGCTCGTTCGCTGCACCGACCTTTCCCCCAGTTCTCGAGCACCGGGTTCACCGGGTTTACACTGACACCGCTGACTCCTCTGAAACGCCCCCCAACAGCCACGCACCCCGTTTCAGCCAATCAGCGAGCGATCACGTACTGATCACGCGCTGCCTGCTTTTCCATTGGTCCGTTTCCGCTACACCTTTGTTTTTGATTGGTAACATGTTACCACCCGCCAGAGTGCTCTGAATTTTGTTTCTGTTTTTTTTCTTCTTCTTTCTGTTGTTTTTTTTTTGCGCTTCTGATTCACTCAGCTGAGGTTGGACCTTGCTGTAAAAAAAGTGGTTAGACTTATGTACCCGGGCTTCGTATCACTGCTGTCTTTCTCGTTGCTTTTAAGAGACGCAACGTTATACATATGCTGAATTTTACTTCTGACTCCGGCC